ACAGCCCTAAATCCGCCGTTGATCGCCATTGCCGAGCATGGAGGACAATTTCAAAGTTCGTGTGGACAGAATTTTTGGCTCTCTATCTTCTTCTTCTTCATCGTCGTCTTCTTATTCTACGGCAGCTTTCAACTCACCTCTGAGTTCTCTGTGGTGCCTTACGGACGATGAGGTCGAGAGGAGGGAGTGGATCAAGGGGAAGGTAGACCAACCAGAACCGGAGCTCGAGCCGACCTCGTTCCTCGCCGGCGAAAGGAAAGTGAGCGGAAGGAATTCATTTCGATTCCGAGATGATTTTGAGGATGACGTCGGTGATTTGGACGAAAATCCAGAGTCGAATGGATCGTCGAGTAATTTTCCTAAGCCTGACGATTATGGAGATGAAGAATGGGAAATAAAGTCCTTGATTGGACGGGACTGCACCCTTGATTTCGAGGTACGCCGCTAGCTCTCTCTGGCTCTTTGTCAATGTCGTTTAGAACCATTCTGATTAGTATATTCTTAATTCTTGCTGGTTTATGGGTAAGGAAAGTTTAACTATCGAGAAATCTGCTTTCAAGTGCATACTCGAGGATACTACATATAAACTAAATGACAATTCGATATTTGGATTTTATGCCTTCGTCATAGTGTTTGAATCGAGCAAATACTGTTCGACAGGATTTTTTAAAATCTAATTATATGTCGTGTTGGGAAGCTTGTTGAACGTGAGATTATGTAGTATTTTGCTGGTACATTGTGGAATATGGAGTATCATTTAGGTTTTCTGGACTCCATTTGTCTAGTAGCTTGCCTCCTGAGATCTACGATTTGAATTGATGAGTAACTGAAAATTTTATGCAGGAAGAGGAAGATGAGTACGATAAAGTTGCTGTTGGCAAGGAGAAAGTTGGAGATCGGTTGTATATGAAGGACATAACTGACTGTGGTGTTGAAATAGATTCGTGTACTGAACTTCCTACTTCGATACAAAATTTCACCAGAGATCCACGGGCTAATCATTTGGCTGCAAAAGTTCGGCTCAAGGAAGATGCAGAAGCTTCTAAAACAATGGATTCTTTGCACGTCTCCGAGAACGGTGCAGTAGCCATTGCTGTTTCTGAATGCAATGCTTCCCAGAACCCAAAATCTATTCTGAAGAGGAAAGATAATCATCTTGATGCCAAATCGCACAAGCGTGTCCGATTCGACCCTGAATGTGAAATTTCTCGAGAGTCTCAAGGATCAGAAGATATCTCTATGGAAGCAAACTCTTCCATTGGAGCTGCTGAAGTTACCAATGAAGCAACCTTCCACTCTCAAGGCTTTCGCCCTCAAGCTCCGGACTACTTACGAAATCCATCGAGATACACGCATTATACTTTCGATTCATCCAATGAGGTGGATGAAGAGTCCAACAAGAACGCCTATATGGATTTCCTTCAGCTGGTGAGAGGATCAAAGACAATAGAACCGTTGCATCTGGATGATACTTCAACTGGTCCACCAAAATCTATCACCTTCATCCCAAAGAAGAAAGCAGGTGATACAGTAATGCTTGAAAATCCTACCCCAGGGGAGCAAAATCATCAGAATGGAGTTGGCAAGGAGCTGCACCAGAAAGGCATGCCCATCGGCATCGCATCCGTGGACGCTCAAACTGATGATGTTTGCTCTATGGAGGAAGACGAGCCTGAGAAACTAGAAACTAGAAGAAACAGCTCACAAAAGACAGCCCGCCAGTACAGGATGAGAGCTAAGATGGACTCGGAGGAGGCCTGATCGATATGAGGCTGCCCGAATCTCGTCTTTACCGCACTTTGTTTGATGCACAATAGTTTTGGGACACTGCAATGGACAGCCCCATGTATCGGGCGAGTTAACGGGTTACTAACTACAAAATTTCCAGATGACACTCTGCACCTCGAAGCGTGATCATGGTCAATATCTCCGCTTCAAGCTCCAACCTCGGGGGGAAGGTTCGTGTGCGAGTATGATAACACGCATTACATAATGACTGTTTTCGTAGTAATTCAAATATTGGCTGGTGGTGTAATTGGTTTGATAATATGCATGTTTCTCTTGAATTAGGGATATGGTTGAAGAAATTGAGCCATCAACTTTAAAAGGTAGAACTCAAAATTTTTAGTTTATTGCCTTCAAAGACGAGAAACATTTAAAAGCTTCTTCTCAATTTTACAGCATGGTTAGATGTCTCTTCTAAATCAGTTTTTGCACCAAGTGGGTACAACTTAGGTTAAATTACGGACTAGTTTATTTGGTTCTCAACTTCAGTAATTATCTACTCATAGGCATTAAATTTTAAAAATTTGTCACAAATTTCTTACGTATTTTAAAATTGACCCAATTATTAAATATAAAATTAAAATTTATATAAACTCAAAAATTTAAACTTTAAAATTTGTATATAGCTAATAAAAAAGAGACTAGACCAATCTTTTTCGGTTTTAGCTAACAAACATCGCCCTATCAATACCAATATTTATTGTGAGCTGTTGTTGTTGCCTTTTTGCTTGTATATATAACACCAATTTCAGTTTCTCAAATCTTGCTTTCAAAACCTCTATTTCGAAATCTCTTTTTGCCTTGTTTTCTAAATTTTCTTGAACTGGAGCCAGAAGCTCGAGCTATGTGAACGAATTGACTTAACTCACTTGTTGCTGGGTCTCAAATCTTGCTTTTAAAAGCTCTTTTCGAAATCTCTCTTTGCCCCTGTTTTCTAAAACTTTCTTGAACGGGGTCAGAGGCTCAAGCATACGTGAACGAATTGACTTAACTCATTTGTTGCTAAAAAGTGAGTGCCGCATGTCACTGTCCTACATTCTTGACCGTGCGGCGTCGTGATCTATACACGCTCACGACTAGCCTTAAGGGGAATTAAGCCCCGTATATATTTTTCGCCCTGGCTTTGTGGCTTTGTCGGACCTTAGGCGAGGTTTGTCTTCGCCAATCGAACATCGCTTGTGCGGAATCCAAGGTTGTCCAACCACACACGCCGCCTGTGCGTGTATGTTCAATCGTCTGCGACACATCCGACTTGCCTCTACGCTAGGCCAACTCATTCGGTTCGACCTTGCCTTTATTCGGGCCAAGGTCTCTCAATACTACGTCGCATCTCGTCTTGCCATCTCGATCCCCATCGACGGGGTCCATATGTCTTGACGCCATCCCGAGTCTCGGGATGTCGTTGACCATCATAACTCGTTTGGTCGTGCCATCGAGAATGGGCCCGCGTGTCGTTCATCTCATTGGGGCTTCCCGAACATCCATCCATCCGGGTTCTATCGAGGCATAGGCCCTCCCGTACCCATGCCGAGTCATTTACGGATACCGTACCGGATAGCGGGTGTATGTAGCAACCTCCAACACGCAGGCTAGGGCGCAATACCGGCACACCCGTGCCGTCCGGTATTGTCCTTCAAAAACCCATTTCAAAGGAAGTCGCCCGAGACGCTCGTCTCGGCACGCTCGCCCACACTGTGACACACGTATGTGCCACAGGGTAGCTCACTTCGGCCACAGGGCCCAGGGGTGGTGGAGAGCTAACACCATGGTACCCCTATAGTACATTTTGAGCCATTTTCATTCTACCAGGAGTAGACATGATTTTCGTGAGGTGTCATACGATGTCGTGCATTGTTCGTCCAATATCCGATTGAAACCAAACTTGGCGAGCATTCATATTTCATATGGACGGACTTAACTCCCGAACCGCATCCCCAAATTCCTTCCGAAACCCCGACTTTTGAGGTTAAGGCCCGGGGCACTACCCGGCCCTTCAACAAGTCTATCTTGTCCTTCATGTTTATGTTGATGTCTCTGTTATACTTGTGTCTCAACATGTCTTCAATGCCCACTTTGCGTGGTGGTGTGTTGGATGATGCATCGTCCTCCTCGATCGCATCATGACATTCTTCTACGTTGGCCCGCGTATGGCCGGATGGGCGTCTCTTGAGGGACGCCCCTTTGCTTGTCATGGCGTGAGAGTCACAACCTACTCTCTTCATAGTAAGGTTGTGACACCGTACATCGCAAGTCCTCTACCATCAAAAGTACAATTGTGACAAGTGATATTCAGGTCAAAAGTGCCATTGTGACATTGTTGCTGGGAAGTGAGTGCCGCACAATTGTAAGTCCACTCCCATCCAAAGTGCAATTGTGACAAGTGATATTCAGGTCAAAAGTGCGATTGTAACAATTAATATTCAGGTAAAAAAATGTGACAGTGACAAATGGTATTCAGGTTTAGCTAACAAATTTCAAACGACAATGAATAGGTCAATCTTTTCAATTTTGTGTTTAGAAACTAATAAATTTTTTTTAAAAAAGTTAATTTGTGTCTAACAACAAATTTTAAAAAACATTAATCTGCGTCTAATAACTAACCAATTAAAAAAAAAAATTGGTTTGTGTCTAATAACCGCCCATCTTTTCAATTTTGTGTCTAATAGCTAACAAATTTTAAAAGACATCAAATAGGTTATAGATAACAAAATAAAAAACTTAAAGATCGAGTGACACAATATTGAAACTTTAAAGATAGTTCAAAAATTCACAAATCAAATAAAAGCAAATTAAAAAGGGAGAATTCATTGATTTGTAATCTAGTTCTTACATTCCTTTATGTTTACAATATTTGACTAAGTGACAGAATCCATTTAACCATGAATTTACCATATTTAAACTCATTTCCTAGAACCATAGAGAAAGTATTCATGAAAAATAACAAGATTTTCCCATAAGGTGGCGAGGTTCCTTGGTAACAGTATCATTTCAGTCCAGTCAACCAATTTGAGAAATGAACAAAAGAAATAGGAACACAATCAAATTAGAAGTAAGCTAAAATAAGACAATAACATAACTTTAAAATGCTATCAATAATTTCATAGGTTACCATCAGAGAATGGATCATATACTTGAGATCAAATTAAACCTCTTAATACTTCGAGATTGAAACTTTTCGTGTAGCTCAATGATGATTCAGCTAAGACAATAAAAGGTTAACCATGAAGTTCGATAAACATTATATTAGAAACATCCAAGACAGATTGGTGTGACGTATTTCAACTTCACTAATTTCACCTTAAAAAATGTATGTACAACTTTTCTCGACGAGTAAAATCAAAATATAGTTTTGAGGGGCGGGTCGATGTGGACGTATAGATGTACCTAGAAATGGGAGAGCAGATATGAACAAGGTGATGTGAGTTTGATGATGGAATTGGGGATGAGAAGAAACTGAAAAGATTGATTCTTGAGGCAAAAGATTTTAAGAACAAACAAACAAAAAAGGATAGGGAGGTTACAGTGGTGATGACGTTGAAGGCCGTCCTATAGACTAAAACAGGCGTTTCCTACACTCGGTTGCACCACAGAAGCAAGGCATCTGTTTTATCTTCCCATCTGAACCATACACGCTATCAAGTGCATAGCCATAGTCGTAAGTCAGTTCCTGCAATTAAGTAACAAAGGTTTGATATTCTAAATTTTTATAATAATAACCAAGCATAATCCAATGGGTGAAACTAAACTTAATTCAATGACAAGTAATTTTTCAGTCCAGATTCAAAAAATTAGAATTATTTACTCGGAAATTGTTTGTATATTATTCTTTACATAAAAAATATTTTGAATTTATAGTCATATATATACAAGTAAATAAATGTTATTTTGCTGTTATTAAATGACACCAATATAGCATTGCATAACTTAATATGTTTCAATCTAGAACATTACTGACACTGAACGTCTCGTTGAGAATTCAACACTCAAAGAAAATGCTCTTTTCATAAAAGCTACAGTTTAGAAGTTACGTATTCTACGTTAGAGAGTCATATATATATATATGGAGATCCCTAAACTAAAACATTTATCATTTTAGGAATCACGACTCTCCATAATGGTATGATATTGTTCACTTTGAGCGTAAGTTCTCATGGTCTTGCTTTGGGCTTCCCTAGGCCTCCCTGAGGCCTATGAAGCCCTTGAACAACCTCCTCTTAAACGAGGCTCGACTCCTTCTCTTGAGTCCTCAAACAAAGTACACCCTTTGTTCGAAACTTGAGACACTTTTGACTACACCTTCGAGACTCACAACTTCTTTGTTCGACATTTGAGTTCGAAACTTGAGTCACTTTTGACTACACCTTCGAGACTCACAACTTCTTTGTTCGACATTTGAGGGTTCTGTTGACATGGCTAAGTTAAGGGCATTATTCTGATACCATGTTAGGAATTATGACTCTCCACAATGGTATGATATTGTCCACTTTGAGCATAAGCTCTCATGGCTTTGCTTTGGAGTTCCCCAAAAGGTCTCATACCGATGTATTCCTTACTTATAAACTCATAATCATTCCCTAAATTAGCCAAGGTGGGATTCCCTCCCAACAATCCTCATCAGACTGTACATAATAATACATATTATAATACTCTCATCAAGTTGGAGAAAATATGTCAACCATTCTCTGCTTGGTGCATTGAGAATTTAAGACTATACATATTATAATACCCTCGTCAAGTTGGAGAAAATATGTCAACCATGCTCAGCTTGGTGCATTGAGAATTTATCTTTGCTCCACTTAAGACTTTGGTAAGAATATCTCTCAGTTGTTCTCCATTCACATGATAATACACTACGTGTCGTGTTGAGTTTATTATTTACTAAGAGGGATGTTTAGGTTGAAAAATTACAACCCAAACAATTGGGTTGAGTATAAAAAATGCCCCGACTCGACCAGATCCAACCCACAAACCTCACTAATTTTGACCTGCCCACATTTATGACGAAAAAAGGTCAAATATGAGTATCTCATCTAACTAGGCTGCTTAAATAAGATCGAGTGGTCAATCTTTCACAGAAATTTAACTTCAAGTTAGCAACTCTCTTTCGCGACTTCTCAATAGCGAGTCTCAAAAAAAGGAAGAGCTCTCAGATTATGACTATGAGGGATGCTTAAATAGCTCACCTACTACACACTTTATCTGGATCACAATTTAAACCCAAAATTTTGCATTTTGGGGTATAGATATTAAGCCCCCGACAAGAACTCAAAGAAAGTTAAGATGTGGTTCAAGATGAGGACAAACTCCTTGTCGAAACAAATGAAGATAGTATCATAGACAAATTAAAGATGAGAGAAAGGAGCTCTATTTTTCCTAATTTTCGATCATACTGCTACCTACCACTCTCAATATAATAAAAATGATCTCCTCCAAACAAATTTTGGAAATATTAACACGCATTAAAATTTGGAAGCAAGAGCAAGAAACAGACAAGTCAAAAAACCTGGAGGGGTGGTATGTTTTCTGCGGCAAATAATACCACTCGAGCAAGCTTGATGTCATGGTGTGAGCTCAATACACATTGGACAAAAAGATTCGGTTCACAACTATGATTGATAAACCTTGCAATATTTCCAGTGGAACAAGCATCAACGCAGAACTCTGGCACACTTTCAGATCTTTGATCATCTATTCCATCAACAGAATTGTTTGCTGGTAAAGATGCATCTCTTGAACGCCTCTACAAGAACAGCAAAAATAAAACATGTTTGAATATCATGGTAATAAAAGAGAGACAAACTGAAAATAGAATTTAGAGATTTGTATGAACATTTCAACATTCAATTTATCCATAATGGTCTCAATCTATTTGTTCTTCTCGGACCACTTATCTATTCCTTCCTATCCAAACAAATTTAGTGGTTGCTCTAATTGCATAAGACAAAAGTACCTTAGATTTTCCTTTGAAGTAAGGAGGAATAAGAAAGGTATAAATAATTCGAGGCACAATACTGGGAAGGGTGTATATTATCCCAAATATTTGAAAAAGCCTCCACCAAATTTGCAGGATAAAAGAGCATTTCCATAACAGATAAAAGATTTTGTAGCTCAAGCCTACCGCTAGCAGATATTGTCTTCTTTCCCTTCAAGCTTCCCCTCAAGATTTTTAAAACGCGTCAGCTAGGGGGAGGTTTCCATTGATGTGCGATCTCACGATCCACCCAGTCGCGTTTTAAAAACTTTGAGGGAAAGCCCAAAAGGGAAAGTCTAAAGAGGACAATATCTGCTAGTCTGAGATGGAAGATCCTCTTTCTTCTCCCTTATTTGAAGACAATGGTCAAGGACGAAAACGAATCTCTCACCTTTGTCCCATATAAAAGGATTCATATTTTCTAGTCACAGTGGACAAAAATGAGAATTCTAACAGATTTTTAATTGATTGTCGTGTTATTATTGCAAATTAGATAAGCAAAAATATTCAAGCAAACTCCATGCACAGAACCCCTATCCCACCTTCATATTTTTAAATAGACAATTCTTCAACAATGTAGAATTATTTTAGGGCACAATAATGCAGATGGGGATTCATCCTCATTCCTTCCCATTTCTAAAAATATATGCTTTTCAAAGATTTTATTCTCGTGAAAAAAAGTTCATCTAGGGCATCTTGCATTGTACCATTCGTCCACCGAAGCCTCTAATTGTTTGCAAGCAATCGATGTCGAAGATATAATTATTCTCAGATACGTGATCAAGATCATCTGTCCTTGAAAGTATTCCTGTGTATTCACAAACAGGTGCACCAGAAGGTATAAAATCCCATGACCTTACAGCCCATCCTTTCTTTGGTGTTCGAAAAACCTGCTCACAAAAGATACAATATTTGATTTAAATCATTTAAAATCTGACTCACTGATCATAATTGAAAAGAAAAATTAGGAATATTGTAACTAGATGCAACAGCCACACCTCAAGACGATATTTGATACCCCTCTGTGAAGTTCGATTCACACAACCAGGACCACAACCACAATTGGGACCGCATTCGTAAACTACATCCTTGGCTTCTATAAGTCTAACATTATAAGAACTCACCCTCTCAGATTCATGATAAAAATATCCAAGCTAGAGAGATTTCAATATATCTGATCAAGATATAATGGACAGACCTTCCACCATCACGATGCACATATGGGAAGTCTAATCCATTAAGCTTAGCACATGAACAAGTCCTCGAAGATATGCATGATCCACTACAGTCACATCCATTAGCATTTGAAGGAAGTTTCACACCGTGTCCAACTTTAATAGATTTACAATAAGTGAAACCTGAAATCATTCAAGAGCAAACATTCAGAATAGAAATTGTCCTAACACTTGAAGCATGCAGAAAACTTAATGGGAGATTCGAATGCATATTTTCATGATATAGTAGAAATCAAATATGCCAAAGAATAGTATCAAACATCCTTTATTAACTGTTGAACACCAAAAGTTCTTGAATGAAAATAAAAAACTTTAAAGGACCCAGCCTAGGCAGAGAACAGGCCCATGAAAAAACTTCAAATGTACCAGACAAAGTATCAATCTACTACAAAAATATCCAAACCAAGTGTAAGATATTGATCAAACAACATAATGAGATCAAATAAAATTTGTTGTTTTACTTGCCTGTGGGTGCAACCGGTGGATCGTCAACCAAATTGGTAGCTGGAATCGGAATATCCTCCTGACTCCCAGTGATATCCTCACACACCAACCTAAGGACAGTTTAAATTTAAACAAAAACGCACAGAAAAGGATCCTTTCATTTTAAAAATACCCTGAAGTGTAATGTCTTTGCATCTTTATCAGCTATTTAAGTTCGTACCCACGTATTTCTGAAACTGACTTGGGAACTCGACCATAAACAAATTGAACCTGTCACAAGAGCACAGACGAAGAATATCTCACCTCTATTCAGTAAACATATGTTTAATAAATTGCATTAGGAAATCTCAATCTTGTATTAACTAGACAATTAGAATTAGGGAAAAAGAAATGTACGCTGTGACAACAGAAAAGAGTCAAACAAATAGGCCGAGGAAAGAGAAAATGGTAAGAAATCATAAGCGAATTGCGCAATGGCTTCTAATTCAATAAATTGAGCCAATTCCAATTTTGATTTGCCGTAGAAACCATAACTTACATGAGCGGAAATAGAAGGGAGAGACTATAAAGATCATGATTAGTTAAAATAAAAGTTCCAAGTGTAATGAAATTTCAACATTCTTCCCTATGGTTTGGGTTGACAGATAGGTAAGGAGTAAGCATGATAGCAATTTCAGTTTTCCTAATAGTAACAGGGGGGCGTTTCATTGGAGGAAAATGAAAGGAATTATCTTCATGGGAAAAAGGGTCCGAACCAAAGGAGTTTCTACTTGAACTCCCCTTGATATAATTCAAATATGGAGCTAATTGCAAAAGCTTGATAAAGAATGCACCTTATGGTAGTAGATTGGTGACATACCAAGTCATAAAAATTCTTCAAAACAAGACTACTATTAAATAAGAGAAGTATAGACCTGGTTCGTCGTCAACAATGACTGTCCTTCAATCCGCCTAAGACGAAATTTAAACACAGTAAACCCAGAAATACCTTTTTCTGCCCAATACTGTATAACCTGTGAAATACAAAGTACTGCATCAATTGAATAATAAACATATCTACATGTCATAAGAAGATTAAAATAACGTTTTCTAATAAGAAACAAGTGAATGCATTATAAACACACACAAAAGGTCAACAGCCTAGGTGCGAGGTAGAGATAAGAAGCATTAAAATAACTTTATCAACAGAATTCCATAATATCCACTCCAGTAAATCCAATATAAAAATCTAAACATTGCATTTTCTTTTTATTCATAACCGAAATTTCATTAAGAAAAAAATGAAAGAATACAAGGGCATGCAAAAAGAAAATCCACAAAAAAAGGAAGCAACCACAAAAACTCATAGAGAACTTGTGGTGAACAGAGAAATGTACTACGACTAGTAGGAAGGCTTATATATCTATCTCACACTCAACCAGACTTAGTTTACTCAACGAGTGTAATTAGCCAATTCATTCATGATCCGCGAGAGCCTCACCTTCAGGCAACATATAGAGTATTATGTTACCTAAAAGGAACTTCAGGAAAAAGGATTTTATTCAAACGGAACAACCCTTGCATTAGAAGCTTACACCAACACTGACTATGCTGGATCAATAGCAGACAAAAGATCTAATATGGGTGGAAAGTAGAAAAGCAAAATGTGGTGGCTAGATCACCTGCCGAAAAATTTTGAGCGATTGCACAAGGGCTACGTGAACTTTTATGTTTAAAGATAATCCTTAATGATTACAGGTTAAAGGAGATGGACTGATAAAGTTGTACCTTGACAACAAATTAGCTATCAATATTGCACATTATTATAACCAACACGATAGGACAAAGCATATTGAAATTGATCGACATTTTGTCAAGGAGAAATTAGAGAAGGGGATAGTATGCGTTCGTTTTGTGCCTAGCAACTTCAACAAGCAAATATACTAACAAAAAGACTAAAAAGTTCAATGTTTCATGAGTTAGTATTCAAGCTGGGAAGGGATGATGTCTATTCCTCAACTTGAGGGAGAATGTTGAAAGAATGACCTTCATTTAAGAAATATATGTATAATTCCTAGCCTTAACTTAGGAGATATTTGTGTAATTCCATTAAATAAGAGAAGTAGTTGACCTCCCTAATTTATCTATATTGCCAACTAGTATTTAGGGATTTATTAAGATTTATCGTTGCCTAGGATCTAGGGATTTATTCGGATTTATTCAGATTTATTGTTACCTAGTATTTAGGAATTTAGGTAGTCCTTCTATATTATAAAAAGCACATGTACCTTTCTGAAAATTAATATGAAAAGCAAGCAAGATAATTTATACTTGCAACAATACTAATTCTATGTCACGTGATTATTGAACAAACGAAAAACAAAAACGAAAAACAAAAACAAAAAATAAAAATAAAATTAAAAATAAAGAACGCAAAATATTTCTTTAAAAAAAAAAAAAAAAAACCTTGTACAAGCCATCATATGTGTAAAGTTTCCCACAGTAACTACTCGCAGATTCATGCCCCCGGAGCACTCTAACTGGGACAGCTTGCTCGATACAGTTCTGGATTAGTGGAGAACCAATCAGACAAAGAACTAAACTTTGAACTAACCAAATTTTAAAGCAAATGCAACAGAAAAATTTCTCACTATAATCAAATGTGTAGATTAATGAACAAAGTTAGAAAAGTAGTCTTCATGGAGGACATCAAAAACAACAAAATAATATATAAAATATATACAATATTCCTAATTGCAGTCACACTCTAGACTATCTTAAGCAGCAAAAAGGACACCAACTTCCAGAGGATTAAATCAGACAATAAAAGTTTATGACAATGAAAGGATCTGAGGAAAGTTGCGTCAAAAAATTATAATTAGGAAAAGCAAGAGGCAAAAGAAAAAAATCCACAGTGCGAACATCTTTCAGAATATCCAACACTGAAGAAAACAGCTTTTTTCATAAAAACAATAACACTTCAGACGAAAAATTTCGACTCATCAGAGAAGCTAAAGAGAAAAGGATCATCATTCAAAGATGTATAAAATATAAATTCAAGGAAAAAGAGATTCGGGAGAAGAGGTTTTAGCCAAAATATTTTAAAAAGTAAAATTTGCATCCGATTCTCAAAAAAACATATTCACAAACAGACTTGATGACTTTAGGCATACACATTCTCAAGAACTGTAGATAAACGTTTTAATGATGATATTACAACTCAAACCTATAATTTTGAACTCCAAAATTCTTTCCAAAAAAAAAATTCAAAGAAAACTCTATTAGCAACTCCCTTTTAGTATCTTTCCAAATAAACCAATCCCCAGTTCTGCAACCTTTGTTTTGTAACTTGTAACAATTTACCATTTGATCAAATATACTTTTCACCTTCCTCTGAAATCATATGAAAAACTACTCAATCCATAGATTTCATTTACTATCTGGACCAATTCAAGTTACACAAGATCAAAGGACAAGAGAGTTATATCTAAAAAAACCTGAGGTACATACCTTCAGAGCCAAATTACCACGTTCCATTACTTGATCCCGGATCTGACGTTTATTGCCAGTTAAATCTTGCCCACCTTGACCAGTGTAAACGACGTCCTCAGCATTATCCAAGTCATCCTCATACATGCCCGACAAAACTATGGACACCGCAACTGGGAAAGAGTAATTACTATACTGCAATTATTTCAAAAAGCACCTAAGAAACTGTCATGAATAATCATCCAAATAAGAAGTCCTAATCCTAGTGGAAAACCTTACTCTGAAGTCAGCCAATTAATATTTTAGACATTTAGAACGTAAGGGATATTAGATAATTAGAACGTATAAAAGAGACAAAAACAAAAATTAAATGATCGCCTTTGTTTCAAATATCTTGCACTAATTTTCATCTTTATATTTAGTCCATTCTCCTTGCACATTTATATGACAGTTCTAAATGATTTTGGGCCAATTTGTGTCTGGCTCCTTTCCACATAAAAAGACATCACCTTATATTTCTTTTGTGATCGTTTTTTTAAGGAAAAAGTCAGAAGTCAAATAAATTTGGTTATAAAACAATGAAGAAAACTTCTGTTCTGAATGTATAAAATAATGAAGAAACATTTGCCCTAGTTGCAAAGATGAACACGATAAGAATATTGTTATCCTTCACTGCCAACTTAAATTGGTAGCTCACACAGTATGATGCGAAAGATGAGGAAATCTACATGGACATTCCTCTAGGATTTGAAAACACAAAAGTAGGCAAATTGAGAAAGACCTTGTACGGACTAAAACAATCATCAAATGCGTGGTTTGCAAGATTCACAAAGGTAATGAAAGACTTTGGATATAAGCAAAGTCAAGGAGATCACTCTATCTTTATCAAGCACTTAGAAACAAGGGGAGTTATAATGCTTCTAGTGCATGTAGATGACATCATAGTCACTAGAGATAATGAAAACGAAAAAATTGTTCTTAGAAGGAAATTAATGAAAGAATTTGAGATCAAAAACATGGAAGACTAAAGTACTTTCTCGGCTTTGAAGTAGCTACTCAGCTTAGGACATTTTCGAATCACAACAAAAATATGTGATGAATTTATTGATTGGAGGGAAAAGTGAATGTAAACCTACCAACACTGATGGATCCACATTAGAAATTGGGGGAGTCAAAAGAACCTGTAGTTAACATAGAAATGTACTAGAAGCTAATAGGGAGACTTGTATACCTAACTTACATTAGACTAGACATAGCATACTCAGTAAGTGTAATTAGCCAATTCATGCATGATCCACAAAAACCTCACCTTCAAGCAGCATATAGAGTGTTACGTTACCTAAAAGGAACTTCAAGAAAAGGAATTTTGTTCAAATGGAACAATTCCTTTGCATTGGAAGCTTACACTGACACTGATTATGTTGGACCAATTGTTGACCGCAGATCTATTACGGGGTATTGTACTTTTGTTGGAGGTAAATTAGTAAAAAGAAAAATGTGGTGGCTAGATCATCTGTCAGATCAAAAATTTTCAAGCTATTGCACAATGGTTCTATGAACTCTTATGGTTGAAGATTGTCTTTGATGATTTATAAATTAAGGGAGAAGATCTAGTAAAGTTGTACTATGACAAAAATAAAATCAACGATCGATATTGCACATAATCCTATCCAACATGATAAAACAAAGCATATTGAAATTGATTGACATATTATCAAGGAAAAATTGGAGAAAGGAATAGTATGTGTTAGTTATGTACCCCATAGATTCAACTAGAAGATATATTAACAAAAAAACTTCACAACTCAATGTTTCATGAGTTGCATCAAAGCTAGAAATGGATGATATCTGTTCCTCAACTTGAGAAGGAGTGTTGAAGGAATGGTCTTGATTTAAGAAATATGTGTGTAACTAAGAGATATTTAGGTAATCCCTTTAAATAAAGAAAATATTACCTAATATCTAGGAATTTATTTAAATGTATTCTTAACTAATATTTAGGGATTTAGCTAGATTTAATTTTACCTAGTATCTATGAATATTTTTAAGTCTTTCTGTATTATAAAAGGAACATGTATCTCTTTGAAAATAAATGAAGAATTGAGAGCAAGGTAGTTTATACTTGAAACAGTTTTGAAGGGACGCTAGGTTTTAGACCCCTGATGCTTCGAGGGGTTTCTCTAACAACTCTTTTTTCCATTTGTTGTATGTCTCTTCTCCACCCCAAACTACCATCCCTTTCTCCTCAATTCTTGGCTGGTTTTACATGGGAGAGTCAACTCTTTGGGACTCGTGATCAAATAAACCCTTCCTTTGTGTTGTTTCCGTAGTGGTGTATTCTTTGCAAATGTCAGACTAAGGATCTCGATCATTTGTTGTGGTATTGCCAGTTTTCTCAGTCTCCTTGGGCTTGGTGGTGGAATTAGTTTGGATTACGCTTGGCTTAGAACAGAGACTTTTTTGCTTTGGTGGAGAATGTGCTTCTGGATTCACCATTTTGCTACAAGGGCAAAATCTTGTGGCATGCAAGTTTCTTTGCCATTTTGTCGGATATTTGGCTTGAGCCGGAATAACAGGGTTTTTAGAGAGGTTGAGAGGTCTTGTGATGAAGTGTGGGAGGTGGTGAGGTTTAGGCTTCAATTAATCTTAATTTGATTTTGTTGGTTTGGAGTGCCTTCCTATCGTTAATTCTTGGACTCTAAGTCGTTGTTGGGCTTGTTTTTTATGTCTTTGTTTTTGTTTCATATTTCTCAATGAAAGCAATTTCTTACCAAAAAAACAAAAATTAATCCTGCATGATATGACAAAGCATATTAAAATTGGCAAACATTTAATAAACAAAAAGATTGATGCAAGCAATATATATCCATCATTTTCAAACAATAGAGCAAGCTACTAATGCACTAAATAATAGGAATGCAGAAAACACCTATAAGATTTTAATGTGACACCAAGGCTACCATCTCTATAGCTCAAATCCAATCCTACATGATAAAACAATACATATTAAAGTTTGCAAATATTCCATAAATGAGAAGATCGATGCATGCATATCCTTCATTTTCCAACAATGTACTGATGCATCAAATGATTACCAGAAGGGGACAAGTTGGCTACGAATACCACTTTCAACTAACTTCAAAGGAATGACAATTTCCTTTATTTTAGTTTACCTTCTATTTCTTGCAAACCTTAGTTTCTTCAAGGTTTTTCTCTTCCGTAGGAGGATTTTGTATTTTCTTCATATAAAAGAGATTTAATATTAAATTTTCTATACAAAATCATGTGCTCTTGACCTACCCGCACACCCTACATCAAAAAGTCCCTTACCACTACTTTGTTCGCACAAATAGCTTGTTTTATTTAAGAAAACTGACATAACCTATCATGCAAATCAAGGAGTTGTGAGTAATGATTTCAAATACACAATTCTTTCACCTTTACAAGCCATCCATCATAATTCTTAATAACAATTTATAAAACAAAATCAAATAGTTAATTTGCATAGTAGTTTTCTCTCTCTCCCAAAACAACTCCCTTTCCAATAGGAATCGCAATTGGTTAGATGGGATATAGTTTCTTTTTTTTTTTTTTTTTTTTTTTTAAAAAAAAAAAAAAA